CCCACGTCAAGGCCCCAGCAGCATCCCATGGAGGCCTTTTCTGGTTTTTCTGAAACTGGATCCTCACACCCTCCCCCTGCTTTTTTGAGAGCAAGTGTTTGTCTCTTTGCTCACAGCTGTATCACTAGAGCTTAGTCGCTGACATAAAACAGGCGCTCAACATCTGTCAGATGGACGCGTTAATAAAGGAACTCAAACTTTATCTTCCGAGACCTGGGACTGTCTTTTTTCACCTCTGACTGATCCAACAGCACATCACTATCATGCTTAGGAGTGAGGCTTACTCTCCAGCGAGTTACATGTGACTCTGAGGAAGGCAGGCGCTATCAGCGGAATCAATGACCCAGAGCCAGGGTGTGCCGTAATCCAGCATGTGGGAGGTGGAAACAGGAGGCCAGGAGTTCAAGGACAACCTGGGCGACCCTAGCTGAGAGAGATGGGGGGGAGGAGCTAGCTACCAATGTAGCTCAGCTGGCAGCTTTTATTTGTGGGGGTGTTGCTACCGACGCAGCTCAGCTGGCAGAGCGCTTGCCCAGTGTACCGGAAGCCCTGAGTTCAGTCCCTGGCACGACCAAAGCTGAGCATGGCAGCCCACAGACATCCCAGCACTGAGGACATAAAGGCGGGAAGATCAGAGGATCAGGTCGTTCTCAGTGAGGAGGAGGCTAGCCTGAGCTGTGAGGCCCTGTCTCAACAGAAAAACAAACCAGATCCAGCCAACGGAAAAGCCTCTGTGGCTGCCTTGCGACCCGGCTGTCACGGAGTGAGACTCCAAACACGTGTGATGGTGTAAGCGTACCTGTCCCTGTCGGGTCGCCGCCCTGGATCATGAAGTCCTTGATGATCCTGTGGAATTTGGTGCCGTTGTAGTAGCCCCGGCGAGCCAGCTCGGCAAAGTTCTTGCAGGTCTTCGGCGCATGCTTCCAGTACAGCTCCAACACAATGACCCCCATGCTGCAGTCGGGACAGACAGGACGGCAGTCAGCGGGGTCACAGCAGGCGGCAGCGCGGGGCCACCAGGACTTCTGTCGTTCAGCCTCGTGAGGCATCAAACTGCGACCAGAGGTCACGCTCAGAAGAAACAACCCATAAAGCCACAAGGCTACAGCGAAGCCCCCGAGTGTGGCACACAGGACGGCTTCTGGCATATGTTCTAAGCAAAGCAACCATAGACAAGTCAAGATTCTGAGCGCATACACTGATGCTCCAAAACCAACCCTAAACAAACATGTCATCTCTAGATTTAATAAAAGGATAATCAGTGTGAGGAGTTTATAGACATTTGCATGGGGGGCGGGGAGTGACTGGCCAGATAAGAGGCAGGATGTTCAAGAAATACCTTTTCTAACTCTTATGTCTTTTTTGATCATGTAAATATATCACCTATTAAAACCAAACTTGAATAGAAAAATAAAAGCAGTTTGTAAAAAGTGGGTCAAACAGGGCTGGGTTGGCTCAGCTGCTAAGAGCACGTACCGCTCTTCCAGAGGACAGGCTTCAGTTCCTAACCGTCAGTCAGGAGGCTCCCCACAAACAACCTGTACCTCCAGCTCCAGGGGGTCTGCCGCTGCAGGCACATCCACACTCATAAAAATAAAATCTAGAGAGAGTGTGTAAAACAAACGCCAAGGCTGGCAATTGCACGTGTCTGTACACACCCAGTGTAAGTGTTTTTTATTCTCTCCCCCAGTACCTCTCGGGATGAACAAGCGGGAGACGAGGCAGGGGGTTCACGCTACATGCCCTCACCCACTGAGCTCTAGAGACCTGAGGACTGCATTGAGTCTGTATGGCCCAGACACAGAGGGCCCAGCAGTGTGAGCACTCCAGTAGAGGCTGGCAGTGTGGTGCACACCTTTTTAATCCCTGCACTCGGGAGGCAGAGACAGGCAGATCTGAGTTCGAGGCCAGCCTGGTCTATAGAGTGAATTCCAGGACAGCCAGGGCTACACAGGGAAACGATCTCAAAAAAACCATAATAAATACATGTAGAATGTACTAGAAAATCACTTTTCTGGAAGCCTTCCTGCCTGCGATTCCTCTTTCTGGTGGCTACCAGTCAACACAGGTTTAGTCATGCTGTGAGAGCCAACATCTGAGGTGTTCTTCCCCTGGGAGCTCACATTCTGGTGGTTTTTTTCCTTCCTATTTTGTGTATTGATGGGTACTGTTCTTAATTACACTTACTTAGCCTGTGGGTGGCTGGGAATGTGCGTGGCACAGGTGTGGAGGTCAGAGGATGACTTCCAGGAGTCAGTCCTCTCCTTCCGCCACACGGACCCTAGGGATCTCATCCTCAGGCTTGGGGACGAACGCCTGTATCCACTGAACCATCTTACCAGCCCTAGTAGGTGTTTTTTAGAGATAATAAATGACACAGAATGGTAGGCAGGAAGTACTTATATAACGAATGTGTCCCTGAGCAATTTCACCTTCTAAATATCAGTTCTCTAAGAAAAGTTACAGCTGCCTAAGAGTCTGTGGACAAATATGACCCGATACAACAGATGCATCATCTGTCGCAGTAAGAAAACTAGGAGTAAAGCTAGGCAATGGTGGCACACGCCTTTAATCCTGGTGTGCTTGGGAGGCAGAGGCAGGAAGATCTCTACTGAGTTCTAGGCCAGCCTGGTCTACAAAGCAAGTTCCAAGACAGCCAAGGCTACGCTGAGAAACCCTGTCTCAAAAAAAAAAAAAAAGAAGGAAGGAAGAAAGAAAAAAGGAGGAAAAGAAAATTAGAAGCAACTTATAGACTCTTGAAAAGGGAGATAACACAGAACTACCACACCACAGGGCAGCTACATGCTGTTGAGTCAGCTCTGCTAAGAGATAAAACATACATGTAAAAGCAATCTGGGCAGCCATCAACAAGTGGTTCCCGGGAGAGTCGGTTTTTGTGGCTTACCCCGAATCTTTTACACTACCTGGAGTTAACTTTCAATGTATTTTGTGATTAAAACCACTACTGATGCCAGGAGGTGGTGGTGCACACCTTTAGTCCCAGAACTCTGGAGGCAGAGGCAGGTGGATCTCTGTGAGTTCAAGAACAGCCTGGTCTACAGAGCGAGTTCCAGGACAGCCAGGACTACACAGAGAAACCCTGTCTCAAAAAACAAAAACAAATACCCTCCCAAAACAAAACACAATTACTGACTCTTCCAAGTTGTCCTCTGACCTCCAAACGTGTGCCATAGTGTGCACATACATCCCCCCCCACACACACATATAATAATGAAATAAATGAAATTCTTTTAAATACTGAGAGGATTAAAACAATTACAAGCTGGGACTTAAAAGCAGGAGGATTTTATCATATCATGTGATCTGAAGACAGAGCTGGAGCAAGGACAGCATGAGAAAATACAGAAGGGACTGAGACCTCGGCTCTGACTGAAATCAGCAAGGGCAGACGCTGTGGCTGGCCTCGGTTGCTCAGGTGAGAACCCAGTCAGCAAGGGCCAGGTTAGGGAGGAAAATCACCTTGTATACCTCACTAGAAAGTTTGAACTGTATGTTATCAGAGAAGCAAGAGGCTGTTTAAATCTTTGAACAGGATCTCTGGCCTCGCTCTGGAAAGACATCTTTGAGCAGGAAGGGATGGAGCTAAGGTCAGCAGGCAGGCTACCAGGCTCCAAACAAGGCTCTCTCCACTCACCATGACACTCAGGTTACAGGTAAATCTGTAAAATGTGCCATCTCCCTGGTTAAAGCTGGTGTGTGTATGTGTGTGTGTGTGTGTGTGTGTGTGTGTGTGTGTAACAATGCCTTCACGATAGGAGCTGCTAGCAAGATTTAACTGAATGCAATCACACACCAGAGGCATGGCACTAGCAGGAGGTGGCTTTAATCATAAGGTGAGATCACTTTTCCTTTTTAGAGCCATGGTCTCATGTAGTTCAGGTTAGCCTTGAACTCGATACACGGCCAAGAATGACTTCGAACTTCTCTCTCTCTTTCTGTCTCACTATGGAGCTCTGGCAGGCCTGGAACTTGGAGTTCTACCTCCTAGGTGCTGGGATTAAAGGCATGCCTCACAACCCCGGGGAATGTGTATCTTTTGCCTGTGGTGCTGGAGTTTCAACTCAGGGCCTAGATGCTAGGTAAGCATTCTACCCATCCCCGACCCAGACTAGAACTTCTGAACCTCCGGCTTCCACCTCCAGAGAGGTAGGATCGTAGACATGTGCCAACCACACCACACACGGGGTGCTCAGCGCTCTACCGACTGAGCCCTACCCGCAAGCGCCAAGATCACTCTTGGTGGGGAAAATTCGTCTTTCTCTACTTTCAAAGCAATTTGTTCACACGGCCCTACGACTTTTCCCGTAGTGTTCACATGCCCGACTCCTCCACCATAATACACTGTTTTGTCTCGTTCTGTGTCCTCAAAAGTGCAGGTCCTACGTGCATGGCTGGTGAACTCAACACACACTTGTTGAGAATAAGTGGGTGGGTGAGTGAGTGAATGAATGAATGAAGATGGATACAGATAAATGAACTAATGAACCGGGTGGGAAAAGGGAAGCAGACAGAAGTCGCCGAGGTCTCCCGCGAGGCTGGAGGGGCTCCCCTGAGGTCCCTTCAGAACTCACGGGTACTCCCGGCCGCAGCTCGGTGCGGTCCACGTGCGAGCCGGCCGACCTGTCTCAGCCTGGCCGCTGCGGCACGAACCCACGTCTCCTTGGCCAGTCCAGCCCCCAACCCTCACCTAGTCTCCAGGTAGACGTTGGGCGGCTGCCAGGTGTCAGGGGGGATCGCCGCCATGCTGAGCGAAAGGAGCCCCTAGCAATGGCTACTTCCGGCGGGGTTCACTGGGGACCCGGCCCGGGTTGGCACACTTCCGGTTCCCGCCGCTCAGCCGGTTTTGGTGATAGGGTTTAGGGAGCTGGGGAAAGGAAGATGAAGGATCTTTTTTCGAGGCTGGGGAGGGGGTTGCAAGACGAGATCCTCAGGGCGGGGACGCGGACCAGTGCAAAGTCCTTCAGCGGCGATTCGCGCCATGCTCCGGAACGGTGATTGGTCTGTTTAGGCACGGAAGGCGGGAACAACAGTCTTGGCTCTGATTGGAGGGATCGTCAAACATTGAAGTTTTTTTTTAGTTCCCTGACTTGGATGGCTCAGAAACTAGCTTTACTACTACTACGTAGCCCCGACTGTCCTGGAACTCGGTGATTAGACCAGGCTGGTCTCGAACTCACTGCCTGTGCCTCCCGAGTGCAGGGATTTAAGGTGTGCACCACCACGTCCAGCGTACTTTCTTATTTCATCTATTCACAAAGCAATCCTGTGAATAACAGTATTCCTGTGTTTCAGGTGTGAAAACAGACTCCGCCGTTGAGTGCCACGTGGCAAATCTGGTCCTCCTGACTCCAAAAGCAAGGACCGAGTGGAAAAAGGAAAAGGCCGGGAAAGACGAATACAAAGCCCTGTGGTGTGGCTCACGCCCTGAATCCCAGCGCTCTGGAGGCAGAGGCAGGCAGACCTCTGTGAGTTCAAGGCCAGCCTGTTCTACAGAGCGAGATCCAGGACAGCCAGTGCTACATAGAGAAACCCTGTCTCAAAACAAAAACAACAACAACAACAAAAAAAAAAAAACCCTAGCTTTCGATAGGTTGACACCCCAAAGTTGTTCAGGGTGACAGGAGACACGAAGAGGAGTCGAGAATGCGGCATAGAGGGAAGACAGGATAGAGGTGGAATGAATGAATTAGTGTTGGGGCTGGAGATGTAGGCCAGCTGGTAGGGTGCTTGCCTAACAGGGCTCAGTGGATAAAGTGCCTGCTACCCAAGTACCTGGGTTTAAGTCCCCAGCACCCATGGCAATGCCAGGCAATGCACCTGTGACCTCAGCACTGGGGGAACATAGACCCAAGAATCCATGGAGCTGGCTGGCCATCCAGTCTAGCCCAGACAGCGTGCTCCAAGTTCATTGAGCTATAAGGGAAATAGATGTTTTATATTAAACATCCCATAATTAACAACAAAGAAGTAGAGAAATATTTACATTGTTTTTTTCCGTTCTAAGATGCATCCTCCCTCCCACCCGCCCACTTCCTGAGCAGCAAGGCAAAAAACGGCAAATGTAAACCCTAACCTTCAGTTCCCAAGGAAATGGAGCAAAAGCTATTACAGAAAAGAAAGCTGAACCTTTAATGTAGCAGCCTTATTTGCCCAACAGAGCTGGAGCTAAGAGCTCATGGGGAACTCCACCATCAAAGGCTAGATAAATAAAAGTGACTTTAATTTATTGTGTATGTGTGTGTGTGCATGCGTGCATGTGTGCCTGGGTGTGTGTATGTGCATCATGGGCACACATGAGCCCACAGAGGCCAGAAGAGCGTGTCCGATCCCCCTAGAATTGAAGTTACATGCAGTTTTGAGCTGGAATGTGGGCGCTAGGAACAGAAACTGCACCTTCCACAAAAGCCATGCTTTTAACACCTGAGCCATCTCACCATCCCCAAGAATGACATGTTTTCACGATTAAGGGAAATGATTAAAAAACAGTCTCGATGGGCAGTGGTGGCCCACACCTTTAATCCCAGCACTTGGGAGGCAGAGGCAAACGAATCTCTGAGTTCGAGGCCAGCCTGGGCTACAGAGTGAGTTCCAGGAAAGGCGCAAAGCTACACAGAGAAACCCTGTCTTGAAAAACCAAAAAAAAAAAAAAAAAAAAAAAGTTTCTTGGGCTGGAGAGATGGCTCAGAGGGTAAAGGTGCCTGGGCCAGGCCCAGTTACCTGAGTTCAATCAGGGATCTACACAATGGAAGAAAAGAGCTGACACCCGTAAGATACACACACACACAGGCAGGGGCTACAGTTCAGTGTTAGAGCGCTTGCCCAGCGTGTTAGAAGCTCACACTGAAACATCAAAGCACCCGGCTCCCACAGCCTGATATCATAGGTGCTTTTTATCTTTTTTTTTTTTTTTTAAGTTTTTAAAAGTGTTTTGAAACGTTTTTAAAGTGCTAGCATTTTCAGCGTGTTCTACAACTGTGTTCTATTAAGGCAAGCCACGTTGACTTAGAAATCCAGTGTCGGGTCAGGCCCTCCGCTCAGCTCCACACTGCCGCAGTCCTTTCTGACCCACATTTTGCCCTGTGCCTGCACTGAGTGAGCCGGCCTGTCAGCCTTCTGTGTGTTTGTGAGTTTGGGGGAGCTGGTGGTGAGTCTGGGTCACTCCTGTGTCAGTAGGCCTTCAGAGGGCTTTCCCCCAGATTCGGGGGTCATGCGGGCAGGCTACCCCGTAGACACCCTTGTCCCTTCCTCTGCCTCTGGTGCCCCCCCCCCTTCATTCCCTTCTTCGCCTCCTCCTTGGGCACGGCTCATCTCAGGCTGTCTTTCAGCTCCTTCCCTCGGGAAGCACTTAACAGCATCCTTGTGCTTAGATATGTCTGTCTTTCTCAGTGCCTCGCCCTCTTGCTCCCTTAATCCTCATGGCTTAAGTCATTAAAAATATCTTTATAAAAATCCCCAGCTCTGCTTTAAATTAGTTAGGCCTGAAAATCTCTGCTGTATCCACGTCATGAATCCTGGAGTTTGCCTGAGTCGAAATCTCTAAAAGATTAGTGGACCGATTTGGGCAGTTGAAGGTGACACTGTCAGTCTATGTCTCTGTCACTTTCACCTCTGACATCTTGGGAGCTCACTCCTGGCTCCATCCGAAGCATTGTGGGTAAGCGTCCCTGAGCGTTGCTTGGCTGGATTGCCCTGCTATGCAAGGCTTATGAGTTATCTTGGTTCCTTTGTTGTTGTTTTGGGGGGTGTTTGTTTTGTTTTTGAGAAATGGGTTTCTCTGTGTAGCCCTGGCTATCCTGGAACTCGCTCTGTAGACCAGGCTGGCCTGGAACTCAGAGATTCACTTGCCTCAGCTTCCTGAGTGCCGAGATGTTCTCTTAACTGCTGAGCCATCTCTCCAGCCCCCTGACACTAAAATCTTGAAGGTGCTCTCCGTTCTCTGCCGGCCTTTGGTCTAAGGATGCTGCTGCTCTGGCCTGCTCATACCCTTAGGGGAAGCGACTTTTCCTCTTCAATGCAGCTTCACCTGAGCTGCACAGCTCCAAGTGGCGGGAACTCTGCTGGCCTCCTCCTCAGCATTCTCATTAGGGGATGTTCTGAAGAAGGGGCTTCTAGAACTTCCAAAGCCAAGATAGATGAATTTAGACTTCATATGTTCTTATTTCTATAAGAGGTTAAAGCCCTGGTTACTACATTATCTGTCTTTAAACATGGCACTGGTTTTGCAATGTCTTCTGACCCCGGAAGAGGAGAACGCCTCTGGGGATGCTCGCAGACCTGAATAGCAGCCTGAGCCTTGGTGACGAGCTGGCCTAACAGCTGACAATGGATGGCCTGCAGAGTCTGGTCTAGGAAGGGCTCCAGAGCACAGGACCAGCAGATGATGCCTGGTCCAGTTATCTCTGTTTTTATCCCCTTCCCCTCACCGTTCTAGACACACATACAAGCATGGGAAGGAAGCTCAGCTCACTATTAATTAAGAGTAAAAAGCTTTGGCCTAAGGTGACATCGTGGAAGTCATTTCCATCTAGAAGGCATCTCCTCTTCTGCTATTTCTCTCTGGGACCAGGAAAAAGGATCGTCTAAGCCCACGTGACTAGCTTCAGGTTTTGTACTCATGCATCTGTCCAGATGTCCATCTGTACCTTAAGCCTGTAAGTGACCAGCTCAGGCTCCAAGTTCACGTTTCTACGGTTAGTTCTCTACCAGGACTCTAGGAAAACTCGGATTGTTTAAAAAGCGCTGGTTTAGGAGCAAGGATTGCTTTCGTGCGCTGTGCTTTGTCTCTGCACATGTGTGTGCTGTCTACATGTGCTGGTGTTTTTAGATAGTTTCCTTGGTACCAAACTGCCTGAGAAGTAAGTGCAAACGTGAATTAAAATTGTTAAATTAACCCAAATTCTTTCCAGTTCATAGTGGAACTGGAGTTAAATTTTGTTTCGGATTTATTTATTTCCATGTGTATGAGTGTTTCGCCCGCATGCATGTATGCATCACGCATCATGTGTGTGCCCAGTGCTCATGGAGGTGTGAGGGGGCATCCGATCCCCTGGAACTGGAGTAACAGACAGTTTCTAGACATTATGTGGGTGCTGGGAACCGAACCCCAGTCCTCTGCAGGAGCAGCCAGGGTTCGTAACTGCTGAGCCATCTCCCCAGCTCCGACAGTCTCAGTAGGTCAGCTAAGGGAACAGGTGTCAGGAGAGAGGAGATTTAATTGTCTGTGGCCGTGGGGGCGAGGGCAGCGTGTGGCCTGATGGCCCTGGGTCTTCAGTCCCTTTCTCTGGTTTACCCTGCTTCACCAGCCCAGGTTTTGGTCTGCGGGTCCCGTGTGGAAATCAGTTAAACACTGACAAAGGGGCTGTAGAGAGGCCTCAGCTGTCAAGAGCTCCTGGACGCTGCTCTTTCCGAAGGATCTGAGTTCCCAGAACCAACATCATTCTGCTCACAACTGTCTGTTAGTCCAGTTGCAGGGGATCCAGGGCCTCTGGCCTCCGAGGGTGGGCGCATGCACTCCGTGCACATACCTACATGGAGACACACACGCACCTAAGTAACATGAGTAAAAATACATCTTTCTTTTTTGCTTTGAAAAAAAGTTCTAACGTGACAGACAGTTCGGGCTGAGGAATCTGGCGTCCAGTGCCGACTGCCACTGCGTGTCTGCGAGAGACATCTCCAGTAGTTAACCAGCTTCCTACGCTTGCGTGGCTGCTACAAGGTTAAGTGTGGCGAGACTGTTTATGTTACAGTAGAATTGTTGGAGCAGTTTCGTAAGAGTGCAGCGCTTAGTAATGCCTGCCACAGAATCAGCGGGTAATAGGTACAAACCAAAAAAAGTGATTGAGGTCTACAAGGCTGGGCCTAATAATAATAATAATAATAATAATAATAATAATAATAATAATAATAATAATAATAATAATAATAATAATAACAACAACAACAACAACAACAACAATAAATTCTAGTTCTGAGGAGCAGTAGCGCGAGGTGGACGCCAGGGGGCGCAAGAGCGCACGCTTCTTCCCAGATACCGCGAGAGTTTCCCCCCTCCCCCCCCGCCCCGGGCGCGCGCCGCGACCTCGCGGGATCTGTCGTGGAGCGTGGGGCGCGAAGGGGGAGGTGTTCCCCTTTGTGTTCGCGGCCCGGCTCGCGGCGCGCGGAGCGCTTCCGGGTCGCGCTGCCGGAAGCAGGAAGTTGTGAGCCCCATCCTCCTCGCCCGGCGACTGGTGTCCCCGAGGCGGGAGGAGCCCGAGAGGGCGCGGGCCCGCATGTGAGTGACTGGGGCCCGAGGCCGGGAGGGGGGAGGCCGGCTGCCCTCGGCGGCCTGCGCAGCCTCGCGCCGCCCCTCCCCGCCGCCGCCGCCGCCCCCTTTCCCCTGGGCTCCCGGGAGTCCCGCTGCGGGAGCCCCGGACGGGAGCCCCCCGCGTTCTGCGGACTGACAACATCCCCCGGCCGCTCCCGCGGGGTGGACGCTCCCGAGGAGGAGGCCGTGCTCGGACTCGGTTCGCAGGCGGCGCGGCCGTGTCCGGAAGCCCTGATCCCCGCCGGCCCCCCTCGCCACGGCTCCCTTAGCGTCCCGAGAGTCCGCCCCCGCCCCCTTCTCGGACATCTTCCCCCTGATTGTTAAGGAGTTGTTTGTTTGTTTATTAAGATTTATTTATTTATTATGTATACAGAAGAGGGCGCCAGATCTCATTACAGATGGTTGTGAACCACCATGTGGGTGCTGGGAATTGAACTCAGGACCTCTGGAAGAGCAGTCGGTGCTCTTAACCTCTGAGCCATCCCTCCAGCCCCTTGTTTGTTTGTTTTGTTTGTTTGTTTGTTTGTTTTTAAACGTGGCCTTCGTGTGATAACCCCGGCGGCGTCTCAGATTTCAGGCGGGAGCGTGTCCTGGGGTACTTACTGACCCGAGTGTTTTAAAGAGCTGTTGGCAAGCGCCGCTCAGTGCCAGAAAACCCCCTGCCTGGTGTCCCGTCGCATGCTCAGACTTAGCTTTGCAGGCCACATGTCGTGAGTATGCGGTGTTAGAAACACCACGGGACACGTTTGCCCTTTCTTCTCAGTGTCAAAACGTATCGAGGAACAGACTCCCAAGCTGGCTTCCGCTGGCTGCGGTTTTGCCAAGAATTGGGAGATTTCCCTTGACCGCTGGCCGTTGCCCAAAATAGGCATTTTTATTCCAGGCTTCCCTGGGGAATAGTAACTCCGACGTGACACTACAC